CCCCCCCCCCCCGTTATCACTTTCGATTTTCTTTCCCTTGCATTTTTTCACACCGACAGAACCCGAAGCACCAGTTATTCTTGGCACAGTACCCGGGATAAATGAGATCACACTCCTGTTCCAAAAAAGCGAAAACAACGAGCGAGTTTACTCTTTCTACGTGAATTATACCACACCAGACGGTACTGTCTCTTTGCCCCCAGTGCCCGGGTCTAGTAGTAACGTTACCCTCACCGAGGGCATCGAGTCGTGTGTGAAGTATGAGATTGATTTGTGGGCATGGAATCCCGCTGGTATCTCGGAGGCGGCACATACAACCGGTTATGCGCTGTCAACCAGTACGTTTGTTTTGTGTTGCTTGTTTCTGGATCGTAACCTCTGCTTTTGGCTAAAGTGCATCACAAATCTTTCAATCTTGTATTTTCCAGATGAAAAATTTCAAAACTGGAAGAAATCAATAGGGATGATGTTCCCAGTCGGTACACTATGCACACTGATATTTAGTGAAAAACGAGATCCAGGTGGAGCTAATTTACCAGATGACTTCATGAAAGCAATCAGCTGACGCGAACAGATTGAACTTTAATAGAATATGGTATGATATATGGCTAGTTGCAAGTGACATGAGTAGAAATTCGACAAATTCTTCATTCTTCAGAGACCGCATACAGTCGAAATGTCCCTGTGTATGTGTGGATATTCACAATCCTCGAATGATGGATTTTATAGGTTAAAATTCTACATTTTGTTATCTTCAAGTAGTTAACTTATTTTGCAAACCGACGATCGTTAACAGCGGTGGTATTTAAGCGGTTAATGCACTGTTTCAGCAACCCGGTGGCCCTGAGATAACAATCTCGCCGCCACAGAAGCCACCCACCTTTGTTCGTGTAATTTCTCAATCAGTTTCTGTTTGACCGCAGTCTCTTTCCTAAATTCTGACTGCATCAATGGGTGTTCAGTGAATGACAAAGAAAAGTAAATGATTATAATTATTTGAAGTGGATGTCTTTGAAGAAATTGTGTGTCGTGCTCATAGTTTCGGATCCGTACAGAAATGCACGAGGGTCGAAACTTCGTCAATAGAAAATTATTTTTTTTTTAAATTTTTTCTCGTTATGGTTAATCCAAACATTCCTGTTAGGATCGAATTATAACTATTGTTAGCTTCTTTTACAAACCCCATCTGTCACACTGATGATGGTGATGATGATGTTATTGATGCTGAAGCAGCTAGCACAGTCAAACGAAATCAGTGGCCATAATGTATCCTATCCAAAAACTATCCGTTATATAAATTGAGTTTTATATATGTTCGTGGCATTACATCCTTTGTATGACATCCGGTCAAGCTATTGTTTATCAGGATGCCTTAGTTGAAAACCTAGATAAACATCAGTTTATACAATACCCTGATATTGCACGATGAATAACATCCTGTATAATAGATATCGTCAAGTAAAGAGCAAATAAATGTTGAACTCAAAAGATAGGATACACTGTACATCTATTTCGATCTGATTAGGTCCCTTCATTTGTGCGAATCCCAACCAACCCAATCGGGGATCAAACTCCAGACCCCAAAACCTCAACCTGGCCAAAGGGCAGCTGACCGAACCCCTTTTAATTCACTGAATGTAGTGCTGCTCAAAATATTGACATGATGTATTTGTGAACCCATGTGCATCCGGGGACTGATCGATGTTACTTGTGGGTCATCGTCAACATACAGTGGTTCATACCGACGTTTGGCACTGAAGCCAGTTTGAATATCTTAGAGGTAGCCTACGGAAATGAAAATAGCGCACACCAGATTCTAGTTGTCGATTAACATAAATCGATATACTCAACCGATCAATTTCAGTTAGCTTCATGGAATACCTGGAATACCTGGTTAGCGATATCTGCGTCATTTGATGTCACAAATGATAAAAACCAATGGTATACGAATGATTCCTTTACTATCCATATAATTATCACATTCTTTTGTTTCCGTGCTTGATCAATGCTACTACAAAAAGTTCCGACATTTGAATATTGAAAATATCCCGAAATTTGTTTTACCCTCCCCCCCCACACACACACACTCCTTCCTCCGTGCACTGGGTGAGCAGAGGTTCCACTTGAACCAACCAATTTGACAGTTCACGAAATTGACGGTCAGGTTCAAATTCGTTGGAATACACAGTCCGAGGAACCCGTGCAAGGGCATGAATTCACTTACACANAACCTCCAGTGGTCTGTCTAGCACGGAATTTCAAGCCGGTGATGGGACAGAGGCCCAACTCAAGGGCATTAAAAAATGCCAGAGCTATCAGCTGAGAATGAGGACGGAAAATCAATGTGGTTGGTCACCCTGGTCAGCAGAAGTCCAGTTCACACTGAGTCCACAAAGTAAGTGTTCGAAGGAAGCACGGCCTGATACGAATGAATAGTATGCAAAGGGGACAAGTCTAACAGCTTTTTGTAGCTCAAGTGAAAGGGTTGGCGAGTTTTAATGAACAATTCAAGAGTTGGTTACAGTAGAATATCGAAATATGGTGGATAGAAATAGGTGGATATTGAAATTCACATATTTGGATGGCGCAGCCTAGGCCACAATTGTTGTATCGTTGAATTTATTCTTGATTTTATGATATGATGTAGCTGTTATGTCCGTATTACCGTAAACGTTTGCTCCAAGTTCCCGAAAACCGTGAGTTCCACTGATGGAATGAAATAAAACCTTGATAATGTTAAAGAGAGAAATCCCCGGCCACACACCTATCTTTTGATCGCGGTGCACCAAAATAACTTACGGGACGATTTCAACCAGGGAAGGGACACATCAGTAGAAAAAATTCTGAGAAATAGTATCGCGTCGGACTGTTGACATACCGTAATAAAAGTGTCTTACTGACCTATACACTATGCTGAATGTCTTCATGGATGTACGAAGAATCCTTCAGAGATGTCGCTTTAGAAGAAGTTCGCTGTGGGTTTTTTAATAGTAGATGGAGCATGTGCAAAAACACACCGAGATTTTTAAAAATATAATAGCAGCGGCAGATTCCGTGACGCAAATACACACACCTGTTTTATCCTGTTTTAGACAAACCAAGCAGTCCGCAAAATGTGGCCGCATCCGGGACAGGTCAATCACTATTCCTGAAGTGGTTAAAGGCAAATCCGCAAGAATTGCTCGATGAATACGATCTTCTTCTGGTGAATCTGGCCGGGAATGCCGTCACCTATTGGATCCCACCCACAGCCGACACATTCCATCTAGATGGACTGGATTCCGATGCCACGTACGCGTTAAGTTTGGAGGCAAAAAATGCTTGTGGATGGTCTGACCCCGTCGATATGCTGATCGAAATAGGACCAGACGGTACAGCTACTCCACTGGCTGTTAATGACCGAATTCGGGATGTGCTCAGCCGCGCCCGACGAGCTGTGAGGTCTGTGGTCTGAGAGTCGGAAAGCTCATCCGTTTGCCAGTATGCTGGCGCGCACCACCACACAAGCGCGCACTATTTGAGTACCAAGTTGGGGTCGTGTATACACAAACCCGCGGCCACATGTTCGCAATGAACTCGTTTTGAATGATCTGTTTCAGTTCAGCACTCACTTGATTTTTATTCCCTGTTGTTGTCTCACATCATTTCAAATGAAAAATAAACATTACATCATATGCCTGTTCAATTGGGGCTATTTTATTACTATTGGAAACACAAATGGTAGTTGTACTCGAATATCAGGGGATGAGTGCGACTGTACCGTGTGCATATGACGTATGTATTAGTTAAAGTAAGCATTGAGAAATGGAGTGAGCATTGCATTTACACTATGTGGATTCGCCGATAGAGACCAAATGTCTAGGAGGATGAACTATCGGTACAATTTTACTCCGTGAATATCTCGAATGTTTCGGCAGTTTCCTAATCGAAATAGAAACTACAAACCACAGGTTCGTGAATTTTAGCGAGCACTCCGTGTTTTCCATGGGTATGACACTTAAACATCCGAGATGATCCACTGGAACCGAATCTGTTTAATGGAATCCGTACCAAAATTAAACGAATTATCAAGCCCTCCCTATCAGCGTTTTTAAATAGAAGACTATCAAAAAGCATTCTAGTTGCATTGAAATCCAAAGGCATTTAAGGTAAAAGAACCAATGAAAAGTTAGCACAATACAAATATTAGGCCGGAGGTCACAGAACCCCTCAGACCGCGCAGTTATCCGCGTCATAAGATAAGCACGTTCACAATGCCCAAGGTAAGTCGAGTCCGGATTGGATGATAATGAAACGAAACAGGCAGCTGTCAAGGTCGCGATCTGATTAGTGCGTCACCGTATCGTTCCCTTATGCCCAATTTACCCTTTATATTTGCATATCTCACCAGGATCGAACAACATAATCTGACTGTTAGAGTATCAAGCTTGGATTAGCCCATTAAATTGTCTAGAGGCACCAGGCACACTTGATGGTCATGGGTGTGGGTTTCACTCCTTAGGAGATCATTAATTCCCCACGAGGTAAATGAATTGAAATGTGATGGAAATGTTCATAATGACAGAAAAAGTGCACTGGACAGCTGTTTCGTCCTGTTTGGGACTCGTCAGCGATGCCTACTTCTTGTGTCCCTGTTGGTCATTACAAACGTTTCCATCGCATTTGAATAAACATCATTTTCTTCATATTCCATGGTTAACTTTATATTTAAGTGAACGTTATTCAGGTTTTGGAATAAGCCCAACTCTTCCGTCTTTGAGCGTGCTATGAGTAGCCTATCATCCATGGACCGAATGTTCATGGTTCGAGTCCTCAAAAAGTACGCACTCGTGACGAGTCCTAAACAGGACGAAACAGCTTTCCAGTGCTGTTTATCGGTCATCGCGACCATTTCCATCGCATTTAATCTGTCTATTGTTCTCCAGTCGTGCTCTTTTTCTCATGCTATTGTTGAAGTGTAAGCAAGAGGCGCTCGTGTCAATCGTACTTCCAGGCCGAACATAGAAGCACCGAAAGACTGGTACCGATTATTACTACGAACATGACTGCACTAAAACTTTCTTGCGTTCCGAGTGTTGTCCTCTATCATATAATATTTTGTGTTTAGTCACTAAGATCACTGTATTAGCCAGAACAGTAATTGAAATCAACTAAGGACTATCCTGACGAATCCTGTAGCTTACACAAAACCGAGTAGCGAATGGTTAAATCAGGAGAATAGCTGTTGCGACAAAAGTGTATCGGAATAGAGTGGCACAGCTGACTTGCCGGCATACGCTAACGGAAATTTGCGTTAAAGCACAAAGTGAACCAGGACCAGTGGGCACAATAACTTGAGAACAAACCGATGGCGAAAAATAGAAGTCTGAGAGTGGCAAAGACAGATTTGGTTTTTGGTACTTCTCTTCAGACCAGTACAGTACACACTCGAACATGTATACAAAACATAGCGTATTAACCTGTAGTGTAAGTACTCATACAGTTATTGTGATCGTTGATGGTGGGTACTGTATCCGGAAGGACCAGTCAAGCTTGAGTGAAATTGGTGTCTGCTCCACAATCTCAGTGACCTTAGGTCAGGGCCATAGTAGGGTTTTGATAAACTGTTTCTGCACCCACACTATTAGTCGGTTCAGCCTGATAGCGATCACTTCGTCTGTGGACAGCGTTGTCTCACCCTTTAGATCGGTCATAGGCTACCTGGTAGATGACCTTGAATGCCCCCTTTGGTATCAGTTCGTAACCCGTGTCGAGTGCATGGGTCGGGATGGTATTAGTCGCATTTTTATTGATCCTTTTTGATAGCTAAGCTGGACAGTGTTCTTGAACTCTCTGGGGCAATTGCCTAGTGGCCTTTCCTACGTAGTCCGCTCCACAGGAGCACAAAAGAGTGCACACAAAATGAAGTTGACTGACCAGGTAAGTTGTCCCCAAAAGGCACCAGTATCAGCCATCACAATAACTGTTTGAGTACATACACTACGGATTATCACACTATCACGCTATGGTGTCTACACTTTCGATTGCGTAGTGTATTGGCCTGGTGAGAAGTACCGAAAAACACAGAAAACATATCTACCGGATAGGGGAGTTTGGTGATTTTAAAATCAATCTGACCGTCTTTTCTATAGTCAAAACTTAATGAACAAAACTCGTCTACAGAACGCGGTTTGTTTTCCTCTGGAATGGATGTTTGTTTTTTCTCAAATTTTGGATTGATTAAAAAGTGCGAAAGAAACCTAAATTCAACTGCATGTCATGTGACTTATGAATTCAAAAAATCGACACGGCTTTAAGTGTGTGTGTGTGTGTGTGTGTGTGTGTGTGTGTGT